TAGTGTGCTTCTTCGTAAAAGAGAAATTTGATTTTTCTATAGAAATATATTTTTGTGTTTAAACAAAGAAGACATTTATTGAAGAGTGTCAGTATAATCAATTTCTATTCAAAAAAAAAATTCTAAACATTGTCTTTAATGGAGATAAAAACTTTCTATGTAATTAATATATATTATTTATTCAAAGAATAAATAAAATTAACGACGATGAGTTAATGCTCAAGTAAATGCAACAATCGATCCATTTGCAAGTCCTAAATATAAAACTACAGTCATTAAATAAGCAGTTCTTTTACAATTATTAACTCGAACAATTTGTTATTCCCACTAATGTTATTAAACCAAGAAATAATATATTATCTATATTATGACGATAAAATATTATAATTATAAATAATGTTTTTAAAAGTGCTGAAAATAAACAAATTTTCTCCGAAAAATATTGATGAACTTTAAGAGCAACTGTACGACCAATAAGATCTTCAAAATTAAATATTCCAATAATAAAAGGTGAACATAGAATTGAACAAATAAATGAATTTTTAAAACTTTTTTGTTAATTCCCAAAATGAAAGTTCATTTTCAACAAGATGTAATTCAACAATATCACCAGGATTTTCCCGTTTAAATGAAACCATTTGTTGATTCATTCTTATATTAACTGAAGGAATATCTATTAAACGATAAGCAAACATAAATATAGCCAAACCAGCTAAGATTATTAATACACTCGTATACATATAAAATGATAATTGATCTGCATCAATTTTACTATGAAACAATAAAATAATTAAACGAATTATTGTATTTACACTAACATTTAAAAATCCAGTCATACCACTTCCAACTTGGACAACTTGAGTAAATGAACCAGTTGGAAATACTCCAGTAATACCATATATTAAAGATTCAGTTAATGTATCAAAGAGCTCCAACAGTTTCAAAAACAACAATTAATAAAAATTTTATTTTTGAAACTCATAACTAAAATAGCAATTATAATATATAATCAGTAAAACCAAGGATAAGACATTTTGTAAATCCCTATTTATAAAAAACGAATTTATATAGTAATTTTGTGTAGATATTAATGATTGATATGTCCATAGTACAGGGTGGTAAATAATATTATTCCAGGGGGGTAACAGTATGATCTCGAATCGGAGATATCATGAATTTTATACCAAATGAAAGCCCGTGAAAAATGGGGTTTAGTGATAGTAAATAGTAAGACTTTGAAGAACTTTCGTGTACCAAATTTTTAAAAACAACGAAATTTTCTTTCAAAAACACGTTAAAAATCATTTTTCATACATTTTGAGACATTGAAAACGAACATTTTTTATGAAAACGAAAGAGAAATGATAACGATGATGATATATGACTATGACTCACACAATAAGATGGTTCTTTGGCGTTCTGTTCTTCTCTCCACGTGATACTAGTTATTTGAAAAATTTTTTCGTTCTCGGACTGTCTGAAAGTTATAGTCGAGTGAAATCTCAGTGTTTTTTCGTTTGTTATTTCAAATGGCTGGCGCTTATGATACCGAACAACAAAGAATGATTGATAGAATTAAATGCATTACTTTCCGAGAAGCTCGTGATGCTGGTGCAACATTTATAAATAGACAATGGATTGCCGACAAAATTCACCGTACGACTCGATTTGTTACAGAATGGTGGGAAAAATCGTGTGACCAATGTTTTGCTGATTATTCGAATGCTGGTCCTAAACTCAAGTTATCGAGAGCTGCTCAGGACATTATTCGTGAAGCAAGTGGTCACCAACGGAAAAGCGGTTCTGTCGTGGCGAAAGAGATTGCAAAGAAACAAAAAGAATATGTTACTCGACAAACAGTTAATAACTACCGTCGTAGGGAAGGATTAAAGCCTTTTCATGTTATTTCAAGACCGTTAAAATCTGAAACTCATATATCAGATCGATTATGGCTCTGTGATTGGTTGAAAGATTGGACTGAAGAAGATTTTCTTCATCTGGCACCATCAGATGAATTTTATGTTTGGACAGTTCGCAAACCAAATTATCAAAATGATAGGATTTGGGCAAAAAGTGTTGAAGATATTGAAGACGATGAAAGGTATCGCGAAATGGTTAAAAACCAAGCGTGTATCGGTATTTTTATCATTTTCACCGCGAAAAAAATGCATTGGGTGATTAAAGACAAAGGTGAATCTTGGACCGGTCAATATTTTCGTGACATTATTTTAATGCAACACGTATTTCCATTCCTCACCGACGAGGAAAACGTAATTGATCTGGATAATGTGATATTTGTTCACGATAAAGCACCGTGTATGCGAGCAAACATGACTCAACATCTGATTAGAGATAACAAAATCGAGTTTTGGGGCAATGATATTTGGCCTGGTAATTCGCCCGATCTCAATGCGGCGGAACATATTGGATCAATAATGAAAGATGAAGTTGAACAAAAAATGTTATCGGAAACTGGACATAATCGATATAGTGAAGACACACTTAAAAAGCACATTGCGGATGTTTTGACGGACATGGAAGAAAATACCGAATTGTTTGAAGCTCTTTTATGTTCGTATCCATCTCGACTTCGTGCAGTAAAGAGTGCTAATGGTCGTCATACTGATTATTGATTGTACTCAATAAATAATAAGAAAATAAACAGTTGTACAACATATAGTTTAGCCCCGAACTTTTTCGATGAACTGATTTTATAATATTTTATGTCGATAAAAATCGTAACGTTTGATAAATTAATACAAGAAAGTTCTTCAAAGTCTTACTATTTACTATCACTAAACCCCATTTTTCACGAGCTTTCATTTGGTATAAAATTCATGATATCTCCGATTCGAGATCATAGTGTTACCCCCCTGGAATAATATTATTTACCACCCTGTACAACTAAATTAAAAAAAAAGAAGTCACCAATATATTCCGCTATGATGTTTTAAGATATCATTCTCTGTTCCTTTCACAGCAGGAACTACTTCGACGATGTTAAATTTGCAAGTTTTTTTTGTTATTTATTTTCTACAGAATCCATTTTTAGCTAAAGAATAAATAATATCCATTAGCAGTTATTTAACAAATTAATATACACGATCATTTACTTATTCGAACAAAGAATCTTTCATTCAAATAAATAAATGCATTTATTCAACAGGTGGACTATTAGAGAACATGTTATAGGACAAAAAAATAAATTATCATGGCTGATATTTGCCAATATTTATTTATTCTATTTTCTTCATGTAAAAACATATTAATCGGTGTGAAAAAATTCAACTTTGACGAGCTTCAACACAACGTGTCGTACACGAACAAGGGATATGACAACATTTTTCGTTCGATCGACATTCATTGTCACCATGGCATTTGATTTCCGTCATTGCAGGCAAACATACGATGCGTCGACGGCAAATAATGTGGAAGGGTGGGTGTGGACACGTACCTGTCAAGTATTGAAATAGTTTTCAAGATAGATTTGACAATATTTACTTACCATCATGAACTTCTGGCGTTTCGGATGAAGCGATACAAACTACAACCAGTATAAGAAAAGCGACGACTGTGAGTGAATGCATTCTTTCAATTTGTGTAGGAAAGAAGATGAAGTGCCTAGTATTGATAACGATCGGGTTTATAAAGAAAGTGCTGTGGGAAGAAAAGACAAATGGATACATGATCAACAGATAAAGGTGCACTTTGATACGTGCACTTTATCACTTCGGCAACCATTATCCCTGTGCATGATCGGAAAGTGCACATAACCTCATAAACGATCCCTATTCTACTCACAAACAAAGAGATATTTATCGGTACTCAGAGAAAAATATTTCATAATGAGCTTTCATGCTCTCTAACACATTTCTGTCTATTAAAAGAAACAAAAATAAGGTAGTAAGGTCGTCCAGATTCCTTTCAGAAAATCGCTTTCAAACATAGCTTACGAATTTAGGCGAGACATGTCACACACTTTTTATTCAATCGACATTCATAATCGCTATCACGCTTGATTTTCTTCATAGAAGACCAACAAACATAACAACAATACTAAATATAAAGTAAGAGTGCTCTGAAATGCCATTCATGCAGTTGCATATTCATGTGATCCCTTACGAATCTTACCACGTTAGTGGTGTTGTGTAAGAGACAGATTATTAGAGCGCTACAAAAATAAACGTAGAATAATAGATTCTCATATCCGTTCGTTACCATTGCCATAGATTCCTTTTAAGTTTATGAGCATAACCTATCCTTTCATAAATCTTGACAAGAATTTATGACAAAAGGAAGAATCGGTAACAATGGTAATAAAGTTTGTTATCCTCGCTTAATTTTTACAGTGAGTGACATAGACAGTATGAAGGAACATGACAGAGAGTAGCCGAATGTATTTTTTCTTGTTGTCGCTGTTTGAATTAGAAGGTGCTCATTGAATCATAGTTTCGTACTATCGATTGAAAAATAAGAACCAACACAGATGACGACCAGAGGCAGTAGATCATAAATTATTTACGCCTGAAAAAAATGGCTTTTAAAAGGGTGAAAAAATTGAGTGTGGGTGTGTGTGGTTGTGGGTGTGGGTGTGGGTGTGGGTGTGGGATGTGGGTGGGTGTGGGTGGTGTGGGTGTGGTTCTGGTTCTGGGTGGGTGTGCGTGGGTGTGGGTGTATGGGTGTGGGTGTGGGATGTGGGTGGTGTGGGTGTGGTTCTGGGTGGGTGTGGGTGTGTGTGGGATGTGGGTGTGTGGGTGTGTGGGGTGTGGGTGTGGGGGTGTGTGGGTGTGGCGTGTGGGTGAGTGTGGGTGGTGTGAGTGTGGGTGTGGGTGTGGGTGTGGGTGTGTGGGTGTGGGTGGGATGCCGGTGTGGGTGTGCATGTGTCTCTTTTTCTCGCACTCACACCCACACCCACACCCACCCACACCCACACTAACACCATCCACACCCACCCACACCCACACCCACACCCACACGCACCCCACTCACACCCATACCTAATTGTTGCCGGATTTGTCGAGCTTGTTATTGCAGCAGAGGACCTGAGATGGGAATATTCTTGCTGCGTCGTGTTACGGACCATTCATATACTTTTTGATCGAGCTGTTGACTATATTTATTTCGTGGTTTGCGGTTTTTTTTAAAGTTTTCATTTTGTTCATAATCTTCCATGTATTCAGCCTTGCGCTTGATAATGTTTGATACATTGCCGATCGAGATCTTGTACTTGTCGGCAAGTGTATGATAAGAGGAATGGTTTTCATTTTCACGAATTAGTTGTATGTTTTCAGAGAGAATTAGTGTGTGTCTTGTCGTCATTTCATGATTGTAAATCGAAAAGTGCACTGATCTTTTATATGCAACAGATCAGTCCTCCGCGAACTTTTCATTTTCATTCTTCTTTTGTTGCATATTCTCGACTAATTTTCTCTTAATAAATAGATCGCTGATGAAATGACATAACATCACTTAAAAATATACGCCGTGCTCTCTTTTTCTCTCTTATTTCATATTTTCACACACTTTTTTATTTCATATGTGTTCACTATAGAGAGGTTATCTTTGCCGACGGGACCGAAAATCATGTTCATTGTTCAGAGTTGGGAGGTGTTCGCTATGTAGAGATCTGTTTACAGCAAAGATCGATCGGGGGGACCGAGAGAAGCGTTCAAACAGGAGGTGTTCACTAATAGAGGTTTTACTGTATTCTTGTAGAACGTTAAAAGGCATATCGTTTGAAAAAAAAAGTTTCCAAAGTACAAGGAAAATCACAAAAAGTCCATCGCAATATCGTTCACTAAATTGGCATTTTCATAAAAGTTCACTTATTGATTCTTCATTTTGATCGGAAGAAACACAGTTTAAGTCAAAACAAATAAGATTTTTGGAACTAGCGTTAAAAACTGAGCCAATGCAGTCTTCTGTTAGCTCTAACTAGTCCTTCCATTTTGACACATGTTCTTTTTCTTTCGGAATATTTTCCTTTTCCTTTCTTATCAGATAAACGTGTCTCTATTTTTCCTCATGGATATTTCTGCACGTGATGAGTAGCCTATTATATAGATTAGACAAACAATGAATGTTAATAATATCAAATTTTTCTATAGTGTAGATGACCATCTGTTCTAAAAGAAAGGTAATGACACCAAGATTTCTGACCGATGGAAGAAGACCCCAAGATGAAATGTTGTTGGCTGAAAAAAAACTGAGAAAAATATCTGAATAATTAACACTTATGGATTTCGTACATACCATCAAACTTAGCAGTGTCAGGTGCTGACTCTTGTCGACGGCCACTTTCCTTGACTGACTGTTTTTGACCAATT